CAACAGGTGAAGAGTTTCAACTCCACTCGGCCCAGACCCACTTAAGCTCTTGTTACCAAGTCTGCTGCCTCCTAAGAGAAAACCACAGCCCCACCCAACCCCACCAAGCCCAAGAGTGGAGGAAGTGGGGTTCCCAGAATCAGCTGCTGAGCTGCCAGACAAATAGCAGCTATCGCCAACCTGAGTGTTGGTTTGAAACAAAAACTTATGCAGCTCAGGGGAAAAATGGATATGGAGACTTTACAAAGACCCTACCTGATTCATAGAGGGGAGGCTGCTGTAACAGAAAATAAGCAAACCAAAACACTGGCATCCACCTAGACCAAAGAGTCTCAAAACACTGGTCTACACAGCTCCCTAGAACCAGCCGAGAGTGGGACTACTATTGGAGAACACCATCATCTCTCCCTCCATTCCACATGTGGGAAAACAAAGGCCCTGAAAAAGGAGGAAATATGTCTAAGAACAGTGAGCCAGAAGAACCAGAGGTCTCACCACCTCCACCAGCGTCTAGTGGTCCTGTTGGAAGTCATCAGAGACATATCAAGTAGCAAAGCACAAAAGCAATACTCACAGCTCTTTACATTTTAAGGAGACCTGAAATGGGGGGCGGGGGGGATGCAATTAACAGAGGGTTTCTACACCCTTCTACAAACCAGAAAACCATCCCAGCCACACACTCTATCCTGTTCCCACTGGGAGTTCACACTTCAGTAATCTTGCCTCTCCTTTCCCCAGAGTCCCACAAAGGAAAGGGGGAGGACAAGTCCTGCCAGAGGTACCTCTACCTGCTCCTGCTTCTAGGAAAGGGGGGGGCTGCCCCTACTAGCCACCTCCAGGGAGGGGAAAGGGTATACAAACTGTCCAAGGGCTGACAAGCCAGGGAGTGAGGGGGAGCAGAAACCTGTGTCCCTCCCCATGGGCATCACTGGCCCTCTCCAAAGGCCATCATCACCCCTATTAATAGCCCCTAGCACCAAGCTAGAACCTGAACATGTGCTGAATAAGAAACTCTATCCAGGATCTCACTGGTCCTCAGACCCACAGATCAATGAATGGAAATATATAAATGAGCAAAAGACCACCCAAGGAACTCAGTAACTTGCCCCAGGAGGCAGGAGCAAACTGCCTTTGCAGACCACGTCTTGCTTCCCTAATATGCATTCTTATTGGCCACACCACTGCCCTTCAAATGTGGTACCTCAATGCATCTTTACCCTAAATAATACTTCTTTTGACTAATCATAATCAGTGTTTTTTACAGACACAGAAACATATGACGACACTAGAACCCAGAACTTGGGAAGAAGTCACAGAGGAAGGCACCGTGGTAGGCAGATGTTAGGCTTAGTGCTGTTCACCAAATGTTTAGGATCCTCTTCCCCTTCCCAGCTGTTGGTAAATATGGCGATGTGACATCCTTCAGTCAATGAAAGGTCACTATCCAGGTAGAAGCTGCAAGAGCCAAGACAAGATTCATCATGCTCTCTGTCCCTCTTTCCAAGTGGCAAGGGATGTTCCAATTATAGTGAAGCTGACATAATTCAGAGATGTGATAACAGTGTGAACAAGAAATAAACCTTTAAGCCGATGTGATTTGGAGTTTGTTGTTATCACAAGAAACCCAATCTTCTACACAGGGCAATACCAGTCTTCCCATTCCCTGGCCTTAGGAAGAAAAACAAAAGTTGAGGGGCACCTGCTATATGCCCAGGCTGTGCCAGACAGATGAGATGGTTTCAGAAATAGGGATATAAGGTCACCTATACTGAAAGGACTCCCTAGTTCCAGTGTGGACCAGGTTTGTTTGGTATACTAATCAATACTAATCACATCTGAAAGAAAGACATTGTCTAAATTAGAAATGAGAAAACCCAGCTCATAATGAGACCTCAAGCAAGATACTCTGTGACCCACCTGAACCACAATTTCCTCATCTGTAAAATGGGGCTTTTAGTATCGGGTATCACACTGAATTTTTTCAAAGATTAACAAAGTTAATATAAGTAAGACTTTCAGGATTGTGCATAAGTCTCAACAAATATCTGAAAAAACTCAACATTACTATCACTATGAAACCCTCCTCATAGTTGCTGTAAGCTTATCCATAACCTTCACTAGATTTTAAACAAGCAAAGGCTTCCCAGGATTGGCACAACAGCACTTTGTACACACTGCCAAAATGAATTCTACTTCAGCTTAAGTTAAACAAGTTAACAGGTCAAATCCCTGAGCAAATGATGGCCTACAGCAGTGGTTCTCAACCTTCCTAATGCCATGCTGTATTTTCATTGTTACAAAGGGTTCACTACCCACAGGTTGAGAACTGCTGGCCTAGAGTGAGGCCTCAGGAAATGGTTCCAGAACCCCCAGCAATCCTGCTCCCTGCCCTCCATGGGGAGGTCACTTCACTACTACCACAATGTATGGGACAGGGCCATTACTTTTCCCTACAAGGCATGAGATTCATCATCCCACATTCCACATGAGAAAGAGGTGCCCTCACCTGACTCTAGAGACTAGCATAGGTGCCCAGCTGGTAAAGGGGGAAACTTCCAATGGCAGCCAACCATTCTGTAACTCTCTCTTCCATGTCTTTCTTCCCAGAGGCAACTATAAACCTTCAAAAGCCCCAGTGGGCTTAGTCTCTTGTCTGCTTGAATGATGCTATGCTGAGATCAAACTCAGGTCAATAAACACCACTGTAGGCAGTGCCAGTAGCTCAGTGGGTAGGGGGCCGGCCACATACACAGAGGCTGGTGGGTTCGAACCCGGCCCAGGCCAGCTAAAACAACAATGACAAATACCCAGGCATTGTGGCAGGTGCCTGTAGTTCCAGCTACTTGGGAGGCTGAGGCAAAAGAATCGCTTAAGCCCAAGAGTTTGAGGTTGCTGTGAGCTGTGACGCCATGGCTCTACCTAGGGTGACAGCTTGAGACTCTATCTCAAAAAATAAAAAAATGAACACTACTCCATGTCCAATCTGAGTTCTAAAACCACAACAGTTTACAGCCATTCAGGGAGTGGTGACCCTTGGAATAGCCTACAACAGTGCCTGGCACCTGACAGACTCTCAATCATGTTCCGTTAAATAAACTGAAGATTACTTTAGGTTGGTGGTTCTCAACCTGTCGGTCACTGTATTAAAGGGTCATGGCATTAGGAAGGTTGAGAACCACTGCTTTAGGTGTGGTCCAAGTAGTGAAGTTCAGAGATGTGGGGGCTGAAAACATCAAGAAAGTCTCCAAAGGCACAGGTGATGGCTCATGCCTGAAATCCTAGCACTACTGGGAGTCCAAGGTGGGCAACCTGCTTGAGATCAGGTGTTTGAGACCAGCCAGAGCATGAGGGAGACCTTGTCTCTACTAAAAACAGAAAAACTAGCTGGGCATAGTGGCACACACCTGTAGTCCCAGCTACTGGGGAGGCCAAGGCAGGAAGGCTGCTTGAGCCCAAGAGTTTGAGGTCACGTGAGTTATGATGCCATGGCACTCTACTCAGAGTGACAAAGTGAGACTCTGTCTAAAAAACAAAAGTCTCCAGTTGAAGTTGGAATGCAACACAAAGAGGGGAAGGGGAAAATCCATCTGGTGACCTGGGTTTCCAGGCCTGTCACTTAAACATTAGGGATCCTCCTAAAAGGACACAAAGCTTAGGGACAGCTGAGGGACTAGAAGGACGCATGGGGCTACGGTGGAGGAGTCAAGGCTTCAGTCTGAGAGTCCCAGAGTCCAGGATACCTGAGGGTGACTCCAAGAACCATGGGCTTGCTGAATATGGAGAGGACATAAGGGTGTTCTGTGGGCCTCATCCCCAGGTTTTCCTTCAAAAATAGGAATGGGTGGCCCAAGCATTCAGCAGGCACGGAAGGGGCGAGTGGAAGGCTACTTTTGAGGATTTGGCAAAACCCACTCCCCCTTAGCCTAAGGGCAACCTCCATCTCCAAAGGGAGGAAAAGCCCCTAGAGAGCAGATGTCAGCGAAGAGCACACCTGCAGGGGCTCAAAAACAATGCCCTGCACTATTGCCCAAGACTTGACCTCCCAGATGCCAGCAGCGCCCAGGACAGCCACTGGGCGTGTACACCACCACACTCACCAAAGCTCAGCGGCCAGTGCCAGGCCAGAACCGTGGCTTACGACTCCTCCAAAGTATGGACATGAGACACTTGTCCCACTGGTCCTGAGGTCAAAGTCCCTACACACACACACACTTCCTACCCGCCCGCACCTAGACCCCTGAGGCCAGAAGAAGCGGCCCGGAACAACGCTAACTCCGTCCAACTCAACTCGACCAAAGCTCCAGCTAGGTCAGCGGACAGGGTTTTGCTCCCAAGTACAACCTTACACGACCAACGCGGAGAAGCTGGGTCACTACCTACTTAAACTCTGGCCGCCTCAAACCAGCGCGGGGCACAGGGGCAAGCACCGAGGGCTGGGCGACTTGTAGCACACCCACAGCGGGGCGGGGGGAGGGGCGGCCCTCCCTGGTCTACGTCCGCCCCCACCCCGGACCTGAACTCCGGGGATCTAGGGGTCAAGACCGAGCCAAAAGGAGCGCCCATCCGGAGCTCGTTGCTGGCGACAAGGGGCTGAGCCCCACGCGGCGGCCTCAGCCCAGCAACTCCCTCCCTCGGCGCGCTCACCCCCGCCCGGCCCCAGCGCGCACTCGCCCCGGCACGCGGAGACCCAGCTAGGGCTACAGCACCAGGAACGCCAGTCCGGTCGCCCGCCGCGGCTCCCACTAAGCCCAGCGCCCGAGTTCGGCTTGGGGGGGTCCCAGCCAAGGCCTCCCACCTCTCACGGGCGATCCCCGCAGACAAAGCCTGCACCGCCCGCAGAGCTGCCCCGAAGCAGGCGGGGAGGGAGTCTGAAGGGCTGAGGGGAGACCTGGGGAGCAGTCCCTGTCCCCAGCGGACGCTCGGGGTTGGGGGGGAGCCGGTCTCAGACAAAGAGTGGGGCAGGGCCCAACGCTCCAGTGTGAGCTCGGCGCTCTACTCACCCAGGCGCGGCGGTGGCGGCGCTGCCCGGCTCGGCCGAGGAAGTTAGAGCAAGTTCGGCAGCGCCGGGCGGGAGGGCGCGACTCAGGCCGTCCGAGCGGGGGCGGGGCGAGGAGGGGCGCCTGGAATGTCTGCGCGCGTGACGCACGCGGGGTTCCATTGACGCAGGGAGCGCGGATTGTTTGATCTATAAATAGACTCCTCGCGCCCGCCGCGCAGCCTAAAAATAGCAGCTCCGGGACCCGCTAGGCTCCCCCCTCTGGGCCCAGGTCACAGTCGGGGACCCCCAAGTCCGAAATAACGGGCTGGAGGGCCGGAGCCAGAGAAGAGGGCGCTCTAGAGCTGCGGCCGCAGGTCTTCCCCGGACAAGGATTTCCTCACCCTCCGGCTGCTCCCGGGAGCTGACGGTGCTGGTCCCTCCAGCTCCCTCCGTACTCGGCCCCGCCTTTGCAACCTCCCAAGTCCTTCCAGGAGACCTGGGGTTCGCCCCTGCCGCTGCGGGGCGGCCTGAGCAGGCCGAGGGCTGGGGCGGGCACCTTAGGGACACACTCTGAGACGCTGGTGCTCACGCGTCTGCTCAGAGTGCAGCTTATGCGCTTGACTCGTCGCCACTAGCAGGGTCTCAGCAGAGAGCTTGCCCCAGAGTCAGTGAGAGGCCTCGCTTAGTCTCCCCTGGCAATCTCCGCTGCAAAGTACCTTCCCAAGGGTAGGGGTTTGCCGGGCCCAAGCTCAGCTAATGGGCTGTGCTTCACATGCTAAACTGGGTTTCTCACCCGTCTCTCCCCAGCCTCGTACAGGGTGAGTGCACCCTAGTTGGGAAATCACCGAATTTCAGAACCGGGTGGAGCCTGAGAAATATTTTCAAACTTGTGCCAACTCTTCCCCATTTTATAAATAAACAGGCCCAGAGAAATAATAGCACTTGCTCAAGGTCACACAGCGAGGTGGTGCCACACTGGGGTGGAACCCAGGGGCACGGACTGCATTTCTAGGGTATCTTTTCATGATCTC